AAATATAAGCATTTAAATGCTTATGCCTTGTTTCGAGTTGGGACTTGTATTAAGCGAAAGAGAATCACACCATAAAGTTTGGATCCCAGGTTCCCACCAGCGATGGTCCGTCTAGGCAGATCTGGACGGCATCAAACTCGCCTAGCTCCCTCAAGATTCCGAAGTAGGCGCATCCCCTGAGATAAGGACTGTGAGACAAAAAACAAGGAAGAACTTCCCAATGACATTTTTTTGTGTCAGCATTTCGTTCGCGGCGTCGCTCCTGGACGCTGTCTGCCGGCCAATTTGCCATCAAGAAAAGGTAATGAGATACTTCCCTTACGGCCGATGTCTTAAATAAAAGACGGTAACAAAAGGCTGGTTTGAAGCTACAATTATTGATGCTAAACGAAGAATATTTTTCATCGCCTGTAAATGTCTGTTTCAAGCATTGGACCAAGCTAACGAGAAACTTTGAGTTACTCATTTCCTCTTCGCCGGGAAACATGCCGGTAATATCGGAGATCCTTTCAGCATCTTGTTCGTGGGTTGTGGATAGCTAGCTGCGCACATTATGGTAAAGTGGACATGTAAAGTGGACATGTGTGATAATGCACGCTGGTGACTTTTAAAGTTGTCCTGTAACACCCGTGCAACACAGTTCCTCCAAAGATAGCTGCATAATGGGTAGAGCAAACCATAATAATGATCTCAAAACATCACTAGTGTAGCAGTGGTGTTAATGTCGTGAAGTGCCGTAACTCTGTGCTGGAAATTTGGGGGTGGGGGTGGGGGATGACTTGCCCAGCCACGGAAATTTGAAAGCGCGGGGGGGCGATACCATATACATTATATAGAGGGCGATGTTCATGATAAAATGTACATCTGTGATGTGGATCAAATTCATGCAGAATCTTACATCAGAATGGTGTATTTAGGCTTATAGCTTTTTAAATCTTTGGCTAAAAAAGCTTTTTGTTTAAAATATTTATTTCCCGTGGTGCAGTCTTTCACAAATGTTTGCCTCAACGATGGGATGCCTTTTACGACGGCTTCATCTTAAAAAAAATCACATTGTCAGGAAAGGGCAGCGGTCATCGTTTCAAATGATCGAGGCTGATAAGTTGATAACAAGGACGGACAAAAAAAAAATCCGGACAAACAGAACAGGCTACGTTGCGCGATTGGCGGCGATTGACGTTAATTGGCGCGAAAAACACTGGCTGACGCAGCGTGCCAGCTGCAACACGCGACGCAGTCACAGCTGCTGGTCTGGTGCAGCATGGAAGGACCTGGCACGCCGTAACAGCAACCTCACGATCGGGAGGGGGCCGCAAATTGAAAGAAGTTCACTCGGTAGGTGTCTCCGGGAAGCCGTGGCCAGGGATTCCGGCTAAGATTTCCGGTCAGCACGAACTTGGAGGAAAGCGGTCATACGGGATGCACATGCTTTGAAGCAGAAGGGTGCACCCACGCAAATAGACCAGAAATACGTCCGCCGAGCTCATTATTAAAAGTTATACACTCAAAACATTCTATATTAGAGGGTCCTGAGAGCCATGGAACTGGGGAATTGAAGAAATATGACACTGAACCTCTGGGCCGGACTCGGGGCTTCCAGTTCTGAGCAATTTGGATGCAATCGGGTCCGAAAGTGGCACTATTTAGTCGTTTTGCAGAGGGATGCATTTGCAAAATGGCTATTTTACGGGCAGTGAAATTTCCTTCATTTTAGAGTTGGTCCACTTTGGGTGAGAATTTCTCAAAAATTCATTGGTCAACCCACTAAAACTTGAAAGGAAAACAAAAGAGGATATGCCGAATATCATTTTGCTGTCCAGCTTGGACACCCGTGACAGTTGAATTTTTAACATAATTTTGAAATAAAAGGATTTATCATTGGTGTCTACAGGGGAATTTATTTTGAGGGGAGCACCCCCAAAGTGCCCTAGAAGCTTGGAGTCGGGAAACAAGACAACTGCAGCTGTCGGGCCATATGTGAGGTCCGCATCTCACGCGACCTTGTTCCCAGGTGGTGTCTTCAGTAATGCAAAGCATTCCATTCACTCGACTTGCCCAATAACTGACGTGCATTCTATCTGATAACTCGAGCTGATGATGTTTAATCTCACTGAACCGATGATGCGGCCAGTCTGTCAATAGTTGTACATTCAAACGAGGAACACTCGGCGCAATTGTAGTTATTGGTTTAGAGCAATTAAAAAAGAGGTCTTAAGTAACTGGTGTTAATTAAAAGAGCGAGCAAGTCATTCATTATAATTGTAAATGGTTCATCTGTTTGGTGATATCGACGTCAGAGGCTTTCTAGGCCAACGTATGCGGGACGTAAAATACAGTGGCAACCACTGAATTTCTTGTATTAGTTGACAGCACACACAGCCGACGCATCAACAGTTGAGGCCGCCCGGTGGCTTCCTTGATTAAGTTTAACACGCAAATGTCCATTAAAATGTTCCAAAGCTTTCTCAAATTAAACGACTTAACAATGTTTGTCTACAACATTAAGGTTGCTCTGCTTTCAGCAAGAAACAAAAACGTTGTCGAGTCATCCTATTCAAGGGCCTCCTTGCAGCAACAGCGAGTGCAGACGGGCTAGAAATGCCGGTATACAACCGCAACAGAGAGATGCGAAAATGGCGCTCTGTATGTCACTGATCAGTGCGATGCAGGTCGCGGAGAGATAAGATGTGAGATTATACCAAAGCCCGAAACTCAAGTCCACGAGACACCTCAGGCGGCAATAAAACTCGACATTCCAGCGCCTTTGCAGAATTTTAAATCACAGGAAAAGGTGGACCGATGACACCAACATGACGGATTACATCCGTCATGCGACGCTGTTCTCAACTTTCACATGGATGTGCTGAGACATCTTTTCATTATCTCTTTCACATGGGGAAAAGATGGAAAAAATTAGTATGGAACATTACACGGCTTGGTGTACGTCAAAACCACTCCCTTGTTCCAAAGGCCACGGTTGTGTATGGCGTACACCGAACGTAACTGTATATAAGATTTCCAACATCATTCCCTTTAGCTTTCGACACAATCACTGTCAAAATGCACAGACCACAATGACATAAGAATTAGATCATAAAACGCTCTGTACTTTTGTCACTCGGTGTTTTCCGAATCCGACACTAAAGTCTCCTTTATAAGCTATTTTTGTCGAGTTTATTTTTCTTCCCTTCATATTTTGTTACATATGCATGTCATCTGTGCGTGCAATTTTCAGCTCCTTGAAAATGTTACTCAGGTCACTGCTGTTCTTCCGATTTGTATAGCACCCCATTTCTCGGACTTACCTTTTTAGGGGTACATACTTGTCAGTGTCACACTCCGATGTGGTACGGATGTAAATGTCTCAGGATTCAATGGGGCTGAAAAACATATTTGCCCTCCACTTGGACAAGGCCGTCTCCTGCGTCCCTACAAGCCCGCCATAAGCTGACTTCAGGAAGTCGCCGAGCTCTCAGACTCAATCATGTTTGGCACATCCAGGGCGAACATGGAGGAAGGAAAAGACGATCAGCCCCGGGAAATGTCTGCCACTCGCCTCGGCTCAGCACACATCTCCCGAGGGAACTACATACTCTGAAAAGCAGACCTTGAACAATAAGCCTTTTGCGAGTTAAATTTAAATAAAATCTGGTATGCCGAGTTCTTAACATTCGCGGGAATATAACAGTTGGAATTTGCATAATAAAGACACTGTTGCGATACCTCGTGATCGGGCAAGCTTTTGCTTGATTATAAGAGACGCCTTGCACCAATACCGTCTTTTTAATGGATAAGAATGGCACAAAGGAACCAGTCCACACACCAGCTGGAGATGGTGGTCGCCACACAAAAGCTTGCCCCGAATCACAAGGTATAGAGACTATGTCTTTAGTCTGGGGAATTCACCATGTTATGTTTATGTTTCATCAGATAACTCATTGTATACCAAATTTCATTCAACTTACCGTAACTCGCAAAAGCACATATGAAGCAAGATATGGGATGGAGAGCACCCCCCCACACACACATTTGTGTTGGTCATTGTTCAATTGGAATCTCAGGAATTCTTTTCAGACATGGGAGGGGGTGTTGTAACAATAGTCTAGGGTGTGTATAGGGATTGGACATGCAGGGGGCACCCCTACGTCCCGTATCTCGCTGCGTATATAATTAATTATATAATTATTGAGATCACGATATCCGCCACAAGAATGATATGACGACATGCTTACAAGATTTGATGTCGCATTAATGACACGATTTTAATGAAGGAGTGATTAAAATCACCAGGGAAAACCGGGCAGGGTTTTTTGCCATGAAAAAGGTGCGTGATATACAACACGAATGTAGAAACCTGGACGTGTTTGCATCTATTGCATTCAGGTCTTTTTTTTCCTTCACAAAAGACTTCAATTTTATATTAAATTCATTGGAAATCGATGACATAAATATTCATCCTCTGTTCTCATTACTATGCAAACGAGTCCGGGTTGTTTTAATTATGAACAGGCGTGCACACCTACTTCAGGTAATTTTGAAACCATGAATAATTCACTTCGCATAAGGCATGATCGAATTTTAATGACGGGGGGTGCACGAAATCAATTATCGGGATAACAGCGGTCCTTCTTTCATCCAGCTTCGGGTACTCCTGGATAACTGATGCCATTTCAGAATGCTTCATAATTATTGGCATGCGGGGCTTGATGCAATGCGAAGTGATGAATCCATCCGGGACTTGATGAACCGTGCAATAATCATTACACACGGTCACTGGCCCCCCGAGCACAACTGGTTTCCAAAGATGACGAACGGAGAGACAACGGCATTTGGTACACTACTTGATGGAGAAGAAGTGCTACATTCCTCAACGGAAATGAAAAAAAGGGTTGAATTTGAATACACGTGCAGAAATTGCCAAATTAATGAAGTTTCCTTTTTTGCCTGAAAGTTCAAGCCGAATGCAGAATTTCCACTGGAAATATTTACAGGAGGATGATGTAACAACAACTTATGGCCAATTCATCCTCGAACTATTTTGGCTGTGTCCTCTTGGGACCAAGTTGGATGCTTTCCAAGAGACAGTGAAATTGACCATTTTTTTCTTCTTTTTTCCAATTTTAATTCACGTTTATTTCACAATTTTTTAGGGATACATGTAAGCTATACAATATAGAAAATATTACCAGAAATTATTTTGTACACACAATATACACTTTCTGGGGATGAGGAAGTCGAAACTCCTGCACCTGCTCAAACCAATATTGATGTACACACGAAGTCGATATAACTATAATCGGCTGTCGAAAAGTAAAAGCCTCGAAATCAAATACAAAAGTATTCGAAGTATTTGGAACTCGCGTCGCTGCCGTATGCGGCGCTTGGTAAAAATGAGCGAAGCGCTGGCAGTCGAAACTCGACTGGCCTCGTGAATCACTCGACGGCAGGAGATTTGACGTTAATTCTAAAAGGGGCCGACTGGTCTGAGTTGAAGGCCGTGTGTCCCTGAATTTGTACTCATTGTATTTGACGTGAAAGAGGCGACAACACCACTTGAAGTACGAAAGAATCCCTTTTCGCCCCTCCAACACTCCTCAGATTTTTGCAACAGAGGGGTAAAATTGTCTCCATACAAGGTCCTAAATTCATTAGATATTTCAGACAGTCAACTGACGGAAACAGATAGCACAAAGAATAACAAAAACAACGGGAAAGGAGTAAAAAAAGTGGTAAAACTCACACCCACAACACACCAATGAAAGCACTCTTCCCTTATTAAAATTTAACTCAATTTTCGAAAACTTCCCTGCCCAGTTTCACATGTCCCAGTACACAATCTAATCTAAGTTCTCAAACAATGTTGCCACTGCATCTAAATGGAAGAAAACACGCAATGTGGAATTCAATATTTCACAGATAGGGAGCAGAGGTATATCTAGTCTGGGTAAAAAACGACGACTTTTCACAACCTCCACTTTTCTTATTAGTAAATAATAATTGCTAAAAGCACCTGCAATGAATTGTTTCCACGGACCTATTCCTTTCTAAATAGCCACTTTTTTCACCAAAAGCCTCTTGAGACGGAAGCTAATTCTTCTTAAAATTACAAATCACAAGTCAATCTCTCAATTCGAAATTCATATACAAATACTTTTGTATTATTTGTTTTTATTTCTAGAATACAACTTTTTGTGCAGTGTGATCAATCTTTTCAAAACCCCGTTTTAAATAAAAAAAGAAACCTTAAATTATACCACGGAGACAGAAAAATTACTCTAATATTTGACTTTAGCGATTAAAATGACAAACAAGACCAGGGAAATATAAAGTATTCGGCATTATATTACCATATATAAAATTTGTGCAAAAAAATCCCAAGTTGAATCGCAGGAGGGCGCAATCACGTTTTTAGTACCCTTGTCGTCTTGCTTGTGAACCGCTGCACTGACGATAAACTTTGGAAGCACTGCTCTCTGAAAGCACGTAACTACAACTAGTGCAATGGTTTCAGACACTAGAATTCTCAGCCGAGAAATAAACAATAGCATCTTCAAACCGTACTTCAAACGAGAATAATAAAAGTCAAAGCACACGAATGGGGGTAACAGGTTTCACTTATGCGAAAGGTGTTTCACGATTACATCCTTTGATGATACTGGCCATTGGATAAACACGCTTAGCCGATACAAATTCAAGTACCGATAAAAAAAATCAGCCGTTGAAATTGTACGCGTATCTTTGTGTAGCAAATCTCGTCTTTTCGCCGATTGTGTTCGGCGTGACACATCGCGTATGTTTTTACTTGGATTTTCTGATGATTATCACTTTCTACGGTCACATGGTTATAGGAAAAGTCAGTGATTAGACTGTCCATGAATGGGTACGCAGTAGCAATCAGGATGTCGCTGTTGGCGTGGATGCAATGCGTGTTTCGCGATGCAGCGTGCACGAGGTCCCGTGGCGCTTTTTGAAGAGATTTGGTGGTGTTTTTCGATCGGCGTCACGAAAACAACCAGATACAAGGCATATATTCCGAAAATTACGGTATATACATCTGCCAATACATGTAAACGTAATTCACATACATGTGGATACATGTATCTATGTACATCGAAGTATGTGTGCACATGTGCAGTGCACATGTTGCGCGTCCATCCAGTCGGTTATACGGCGCTGTGCGGTTATGTCCCCTTGAAAGCGCTATAACGGGAATCTACTGTACCAAGTTCCACATCACAACTATGAACAATATGGTCACTCGGTGTCGTGTTTTCGTAACCGTCGGTTCCATTGCTAGCGGTCACCACCGATGTTGCTGCTACACTGCCGCCTTCATCGTCGCGTTCACAGTGGGCGTGGCACCACCTCCGCCTGGTATTGGGTCATATATCTGATTCTCATCGTATAGAAGCCCTGAGTAAGACAAAAGCGGGAAACGGTCTCGTCATAATGTGGGTCAAGAATGAAGCAAGAGTTTACAGTTGATAAACAGGCTAAGAGCAAACAAGCAGTGGGATTTAGAGTCGTACGCAATTGAAATACTGCATTATGCAAGACGATCTGTTTATAGTTTGGAACTACTTGGCGTATCAGGTATCCTGACGTCGTTTGAATTTCTTGTCGGCCTGTTAGCTGTGCGCATGGCCGCATGCGTCCTGTCTTGGTACCTGCGATGCTTGCCGTCATGAAAAGGGCCACGCATGATGCCAAGAGCGCCCTCACGCAGAGCCGGGAGACCTCAGACTTGCGATGCGGCACCAACGGTATCAGTCCGCCCATCATGACGCCGATGCTGCCCAGGTTGGCGAAACCGCATAGCGCATAGGTGGCGATGACCTGCGTGCGGGTCTGTCCGAGAAAAATAAAGTGCCGTGTAATTCCGGTCTCTCAGTAGTACAACAATTTTTGAGCCTAAAATGCGACTTGCAGAATTCCACACATTTTTGATGAAGTTTACAGCGTGCAAAATGTCGAATGGGCTTAAGAGATAAACAAAAGCAAATGCTGAAGTTTTTGGATGATTCGAAAATGAACAACAGGAAGCCCAATCTTGTTCTTAGTCTCTGATCTACATCAGATTTTGCGACTGTAGTGTAGTGTTCAAGTGGTATAAATCTACTCACACAATGCTGTTCAAAGAAAATTCAAGTGGGTATGCAGAACACGGCGATCTTTTCTTACCGAGATTTCTTCGTTGTCGACGTATTCGGCCAACGCATTGTACGCCACAATTTCATTGAGGAACACCTTGATGCCGATGAGTTCGGCCACGACGAGGCAGTCTGCGCCATCAACGCCCAGCAACCAGGCAAGGGGATAAAGCACGTATCGACAGATCAGCTGAAGTGGGACAAGACAGGGGCATCAATATGGAAAAATGCGGGCTTGAAACACAACTGAAAAAGCATGAACAGGCAATTGGAAATTTGCTCTCGACCTCATCAGTTTACCACATTCGACCAAAAAACAAAAACCCCAAAATGTATATGTTTCAAGCCACTTACCTGCAAATTGGTAAAACTGTTTGTGATAATCAGATATGATTAACATTTTGAGCTTTTTCATATACACATGTAGTCACACCAGCACTCACATTTAAAGCTAGACTCTTCAAAATGTAGAGTTTTACCTGGAAACTGAGATTTTCGATGTCGACCAGGCCCCCAAGCCATGCAAGGGCAGAGTTGATAAAGGCAAGGACGCTGATTATCGCCACAAGGTTGCCAATGATGTAGGCGCAGATCTTCAGCCCGTCGATGGCGCCCACGTACATGGCTTCCAATGCATTACTCTCCAAGCTACAATCGAACAATGAAGGCGTCAAGATTTATGCACCTTGCTAGAGTCAATCTTTCTGACTCCATTTCCATTTTCCTTATGGTATCGAGGGGAAGTTGAAAATTTTCACCCTTAAATAATTAAGTCACACTAATTAAAAAAAAAAACTAGTTCCAGAAGCAGGGAAAACCATTGGCTGTACCGCTTCTCCCCTTTGCAATATAAAGGGCTCTGGGAGAGGCATCTGCAAAATTAGAGTGTACAGCGACAGACAGCAACAAGGGACATCCATGTCTAAAACAAAAAAAAAGCTAGGTTGTTTATGTAATACGCAAACCAGCAGAACTTCTTTTCGAGAGTTTGAACGATAACCTCATCACAACGTGGCATACGATTTATGTGGCTCACTATGCGCCTGTGCGTATAAAATCAGAAGTTGAACGCACGCTTTAGCCGTCTTGATGTTAGCACTTGACGCCGTTTTGGGTGCCTTCGTCTCTGGGAGGGACATCTTGGCAGTCACTAGGGCGGCAGGGGCGGACATGAACGACGCCGCCAAGAGGTGAGAGGCGCTTATACCGAACGCGATGAAGAGGGCCAGCACGCTGCCCGCTATGGTAGCGAAGCCCCCGACGATGACGGCATACATCTCTGACTCCGTCATGTCATTCAGGTACGGCTTGATGGCCAGGGGTGCCACGGTCTGAAAAAAAGGCGGGAAATACTCGGCTTGTCTTTCCATCGTGGTAAAAATTGTCTGGACCTAGCACAACAAGGCGTCAAATCTTTTCGCACTGACCACGATACATGTTTTGTCCTGTTCGTCTTGTCAGGCTCTTTGATCATAGTGTTTTTATCATGTTTTGTACAAATGAATATTGCACCTTACAGTTTCTGTCCCGCCAAAGGGAGAGTTGCAAATTTCGCATTATTAGACGCCGACAATCCGACCCACACTTTCACACGACGGCGACAGTGTTAAGATAAGTCACGGTGTGGACAAATCGTCAAGAGTAGAGGCTCGTTATTTACCATGCCAACAAAGATGTTGGAGGCAGTGGCGAACGATTCGGCACCGGAGACATCCATAGTGAACTGCATGATGACAGCGAGCCCTCGGATAAGCGTCTGCATAACGCCCCAGTAGTACATCAACGCAAAGACTGAACTGGTAAAAATGATCACCGGCAATACCTTCACACAAGATGATCGATACAAATAGCGCTATTAATCGACTAAATGGACACTACGTTTTCATTAAGAGTACTCTGATAATAATATTCCTCACTTCGATCATTTTTGCCGCTCATTTGAACAATACAAGTTGTCCTTCAAGGGCTTCTTTTTTTTACTTATTCATTTTTTAGCAATTGAAAGATCCAACATTTTAAAAATGGTACTACCAACTGATCTTGGGGTAAGGATTCTTGTGAAAAAAAAATGGACAGCTTTTTTGAGGAAATATTCCATTGCTGGTCCCCACCGACCCAAGACCTGACTACGCCCCTGCGGAACTGGTTCTGTCACATTTTATTCAGCAGTCCAGAGTTCATTCTGTAACCACAGATAAAGACGTTTCCTGAGAGTTCAGCATTAACTGAAATGTTCCAAGAAAATTTATACTAATGATGTGTGTACTTTTTGGTAACTTGTAATTTCATTACAAGTTAACTGCAATTTTTCATAAGGGAATGGGTGGGTAAATTAGTTTGCAGAGACAAACCCATTTTCAAGCCCTTGAGGCTTGTAGTCTACACATCAGCCTTTTGATTTTAACTTTCAAAGCTTTATCAACTTATCAACGTGCACCCAGGCATTTACGAAATTTACGTGCTGTAATGTGGCTTTGTGGAATTCACTAGACTTTTTCTTTACTCCTTCACATTATCTAGTCACGTCTATACTTACTGTTAACAGAATCTCATGGTTTGACAGAGGGGCGGGGCCAAACACAAACTCCGCCCCCGCGTTCGTGAAATTCAGGAAGGATTCCACCTGTTTGCCGAGCCAGTTGAAGGAGTCGAACCCAGGCTGTGTGCGCAATATAAGGATAGCCAGGAACATCTGTAGCCAGAGGCCCCAAAAGACTGTGCGCCAGTTGATCTGGGAACGAGAACAAACGTGCAATGAGCAGAATTCTGAAAGTTCTAGCACCTGACAGTAATGAAAAATCTAGACCGGCGAAGCTTGACCAACTTTCATGATTTAGTCTGGTATCGGGGTTAGGTCCCCGGACCTAGACAACGTAGAAGTGGCTTTGGCCATATAGGGTGTGGAAGGTCTTTCCTACATCTCGGTGTCGTTTGCGCTTCCAACCCCAAGCTTTAGTTTCATGACTTAAATCTCCTGAAATGAAACCCTGTGGCTCATGGAAACTTCATTTATCGACGAACTGTGTCATACCAGGCCAAAGTTTGAAGGACACAGGGACAAGGCTAACGTTTTTTTAGGGTGGGGTGTGGGGGGAAGGTGATCCATGACTTTATCTCACCAAGCCAGGCTGTTTGGACAGCACGAAGCTCAGTAGCAAAAAGCAGACGAGGCCGAAGAGCGACTTGAGACGCTCCGGTTCCCTGACGATTGACTGGATCACGCCGGTGAGGGCGCACATTGCGATGAGCAGAGCGGTAAACAGAATGTACACCAAGCTGCAGCGAAAATAAAGAGACTTTGTTGAAATCTACGATTTAATTTCTGCTTGTCCCGCTTAAACTTCATCTAGGCCCGTGAACCTGTTTGCGAAGGAATGGCCGTGTTTCTACAGGAGAGTAAAAAATTTCAGACACAGACTTTATTCATTTCAAACTTTAAAATCTGAAAATGAACTGAACTACGCTCGAACACTCCCGTTGGATAAACTCCTCTTTAGTCTAAGCTCATAAAATCCAAAGATAAAAGTCACTGCGTGTGATTTGAGTCAATTCATTTGCGTGTGATTTGAGTCAATTCATTGCACCGTCAAAGCTTATTGGATACCTATATGATGGTCAATCACCTACTTTATGTCACCCACTGCTTTATCGATACGTACCATGTTATTAATAATTTTCTCTCACTGATGAACACGCCGCATTTCCTCTGCCTACAGCTGACAGCGCCCGACACGATGCGGGCGCCACAGAAGTGTTGGATGACACGGCAAGTGGCGTAGGCCAGAGCGAGCATGGACAGGACGAAGAGCGCCAGCGCGCGGTGGAAGTCCAACACGACGGCCGCGATGACGTAGGCTACAAAGAGGAGGAGGAGGAGGATGTAGACCGCCCACTTGATGGGCTGCCTGTGCGACCTGATGAAGCCCTTGATGGCCTTGTCGACTTTTTCCACCCTCTGCCCGCGAAAAGAAAGAAGGAAACGACGATACACAAGGTGTTGGGACAGGTGTCCATTGGACCAGCGTACACATGTACATCATTGGAGAGTTACGGCAGAAGTCGCGTGCCGTGCGCCCGTCCCAGTAAAGTGACACGTATACGTTCGCGTACGAGGTGCGCCATAGAATTAGTTTCGGCGATTAGTACGCTTGTGGGAGAGTGATCAAGCATGATTTCTGTACTTTCACTCTCTTTCTTTTCCACATGCTAACAATCTACAGCACTTTAACTATCAGCCAAATCTCTCTAAGTTGGTATTTTACGTTAAAACTACATGAACACAATACGTGCATGGAACAACTCCTATTTATGTCTAAACGTGTCCGTGGCCGTCACAACCCGAAACTGGTGCGCATGAATTGATGACGTCAGCAGCAAAATCTCGACTTCACGTCCACGGATCGCGCGGGGAGGGGTTTCTGCCGAAACTCTATTATCCTTAGCACCGTATATTAAATTCACATGTATTAAGAATCTAAACATCGCTCGGGTCCAAACTGATTGAAGACGGTGCATCACTTCCAATTTTGAATTTCTATTCAATTTCTATTTTTCTGGAACGCACAGCTGCTTTGCAAACAAGAAACAAACTGTAGCCAATATGATGGCGCTGCGCTAGCGGCGACGCGTCTGCTGCAAGTCTCAGTCTTTTAATTTGTTTATTCCCGTTGTTTGAGAGTGTGGAGGCCTGAATCCTTGTTTTAGGTATGGAGAAGGGATCCAGGACTGTGATAGTGTGTTTCTTAGTGAAATATTCTTTTATCCCTAGGGCCATTGCTGCATGCAATTTGAAACATACAAGGGGAATAGACGAACTTTGATAAGATGTGGTACTGATGATTTTTAATGATTTGTAATGTACATGTATTAATTCTGTATTTTAATTAGATTCAACGTATGCATGTTTTAGAATGCTAATTCTTGTATGTTTTTAATGAGGCTTGTACGCGGAGATGTAATTTCCTTTGGGATTAATAAAATAACTATGAACTATAAACACGAATCAACCATCTTTCTGATAGCGTCGTCAATTGACCTTAGATTTTGATCACGTGGCACAGCTCGCCATATAAAAACACCCTAAAGGTGTCTTTCCATGCGCGTCAACACTTGCGCCAAGCGCTGCGTATCCGTCAGAATCGCTCCCGGGCACGACGTTGACGACCAAACGCAACGCACACTTGTGTTATGTTAATGGGGTCGATTTTTGTGTCCGTGACAGTGAAACGCATGGATGCATCGTGCACGCAACGCGCACCCTTATAAAAATGTACATATGGAAAGGCGCCTTTAGCCGGTAAAACCGCCTCGCAAAGTGCGCAGACATCTTCGGGCCGTATTTCTAAATTCTGGTAGGGATATAGGGATACACCTCCGTTCTAGGCAATTGCAGTTCGTGCAAAGGGTGACGCGTGTAAACACTGACGACTGCACCGAAGACAACTTTCAAAAATATCAAAAATGGGGTTGAAAGTTTTCCCGTGACAGCTTTCCCATTGTTAACGATCATTGTGTTCAGCTGGCTTCGGCGCCAACCTGTCTCAGGAAGTGACTGGCTTTGGTGAAAATTGGGCGGGAAAGGGTAAAGTGGCGCGTCTGTTGTCGAGATGCCGAAAGATATATTGTCTAAATCACCGAAATCCAAACAGTCGATGTTAACAAAGTTTGCGCTGTAAAACAGATCAGGTATCACTAACACATGTCTGTGCAAACACTATTTTTTATCGAGATACTTGAGAGTTCAGAGGTTGATATCATGAGACACTTGCTGTGAAGGCCCCGCACTGATAGCTCCCCCCCCCGTATTCAGGTTGCGATTGAAAATCTATACAGGTTTGAAAAGACCGCACTGGGCGAAGGTTGTCATTTACGTTGATTATGCGCGTGTGTGTGGCTCTGTCGACGTTTCTCTTTATTGTAACACGAATGTCATGCACACTGATTTCTCAAAAAAATGCTCGTTGCAAAATACTACAAAATTTTCGAGACAATCCCACCTCAACTTCCACTCTTCAAATTCTTTCAAGAGCTCTGGAGAAAAGTGCTCAACAAAAGTTTTCCAATAACGCTTAGAATATACCATTTGTCAAGCACCAAGCCTTCTTTCCATTATAAAGCAGGCCTGTTTTGTACTGAAAGGTGCTGGTACTTCTTATCTGAATGTTGATCAGAACACTAGAAATTAAGTAAAAACCGCACAGCCAACGCGGGACTGACTATTTATACCAGACAAAGAACCGAATACTTTGGCGTAGCAATGCGCGATTGAGTTCAGCCTGCCCTCGGTCATGCATGACTTCGGCCTGGCCTTTTACGTGGGAGGCTAATAATACGTGCAGCTACCTGTGTTGTCGTAATCGCTTATTTAACTAAGTAAGACCAAGTACATTTCTTAAATATGGAGTAACTCGATCGGCCTGGGCGTTTTGAATCAAAATAACTGCGGGCAGGCTAGGGCAAAAGCTTAATATTTATGGTCGTTGCCAATTTAATGGCAACGTGCATGCGTACCTACACGGGCCGCTGGCTATCCTCCTTGAATAGAAGCAACCTCCCCCCCCCCATCGGTTGAAAGAGCCATGATGGTCGGGAGTGTTCATTTTTCTGGTTGCGACCGTACCGCGCGCATTTCATAGTCGTTTGCGAACAAGCGAAGTGCAGTTCCGACCAAAGGAGTCTTCGTTGCTAGGAAAAACTGCGCCCTCTCTTGATCAAGGTCGGAGCTCACAGCGGCTGCATGTGAGTTGGTTGCCGGTGGTAGCCAAGAGACTTGGACACGGTCATAGGCCACGTGGGGCTGCTACAGCTGCGCGCGTCTAAGCGCTTCCTGCGAGCTCAGCCAATAGGACCAATGAGGGGACAGTGGCATCACAAAGCATCCCATGAACTCCACAAGAAGAAGCAAGGTCACTGCCGATGTATATATCCCTTCCAGCCAGGTTGCCAGTCTATAAACAGTTGCCCACCAGGAGGCAAGCCGACATCAGCCAGTTTACTCTTCTAATCTTTTTTATTTGAATTTCCTTATTATTATCTGGTCTGAATTGAAAAGGGTAACAACTTTTGGTCTATGCCGATTTGCAGTGCGGGCCACATTATAGACCCGAAGTGATTTATACTCAAGATGTCTTCAATCGTATCAGTCCTTTGAACGAGTGATCAAGTACAAAGGTCCACAAACACTCCTGAGCGATGAAGTAAAAAAAGGACCTACCGAACCGATAAGTAAATTTATCTTGATTCTAATACGGGCTTGGAAGGGCTCAAAACGGTCCATGTTTGCATGTTCTTTACACAACAAGCAGTTTTCTGTTATGGTATGTTGCGCAGATGAAATTACGGCCACGGTGAATGTAATGGAAAAATTCGGCTAAAGCACACTGAAATGTGCACAACCATTAAATCTTGTTTCTTCACGGTGGGATACACTTGACTTCATTACGAGCACACGCAAAAGTTGTTTAAAGATATCAGCAATGACGAAAATTAACAGTAACTCCACGCCTGTTGCCAAATGCCGTTTATAAAAGTTCCCTAATCCTTGTCATATACCTTACCCCCTAATTTTGAAATACGAGCTGCCAAGATCACTATTAAGAGAGTAGGGTAGATTCTAAAGCAAACCCTTCTGAATAAGTCAAGACATTCCATAAAAACACAGATCTGAGAATCCATTTAACAAGAGCTTAGCAAACAGCGTGTCCGTTTGGGAAGTCGACTCACTCGGTACCCCGTCCGACCGCTTTTAATACCCAGTTTCACACCTGTCTGAACTGAAGTGCGACTCTTACAGGTGCCGGGGGTTCGTGAACGCCGTGCCCCGCTTGAGATTTATACTTTTACAACTCGATCTGTGCACCGTAAGGGTACAAGCCTGCCAACGCGGACAGATAGCGCTGTGTCGACCTCAGGGCACAGGGTACTGAGTGCGCAGAGCATGTTTTCCTTGTAATGCACGCCGTAAATCTTCAACTTCGCCAGCACGCCTTATCCATGGGAAACTTCCAAAAGTTTCTTTAAACTCCATTAAGATATTTTGGACCACAGTGGCGATCGGAGTACAACTATTTATCGTAACTCCTGTGTATGATATATATATATTTGTTTACTTGATTCCTGAAACCAGACCTACGGGGGTTAAACAGAAAAACTAAAAATAACTGTGGATTCTCGAAAAAGAAAACATTATCCCCAAGCACCAAGCTCACGTGAGATACAGGGAATGAATTAGCACTTCTTTTCACAGAAAGCAGGATATTTCTGATCGGACTAAATCCACTTCAAGCCAGTTCTAAAACACCTATTTCTGTTTGGCTGTCGTCTATAACATGGACGATTCGCGGTAAATTTAGGGAGTAGTTAAAAGAATACTTCAGTGAAATCGACTGACAATGAAGGCAACCTTTTTTAGCCAAGGAGAGGTCCTTTTATCTTCTTTGCTGACCACTTGATATACTTGAGTACTGCCATTAATTGGCAAGTTCGATCAGCGACAATTTGTAAACCATTGGTCGATTTTGCCTGGTGCCCAGTGTATATTTTATGTATAAGTCACCAGTCAAAATCGACAAATTGGTTGAAAATTTGTCGCTGATTGAACTTGCCAATGCTGGAAAGCAACCCCAAACACTGACTGGCCAGTGTACCTTGTGTTGGGATGTCTTACACGGATACCGTAAAATTTCTCGTACACGGCCATCCGTTGTTAACTGGACAGCCTTGTGGTGACGATGACGTATCAAATTCCGCGTCGAAGTTGGAATTGCAAGTGATCTTTTCGTGTGAAGTATTAAATCGAGAATGCACTGTTGCATGCGCTGAATAACTTTAATCAACTGAACAACGTCCCTCAGATGATTAACCAATCATCAAACATAAACAAGCTGTCCAAACCAGGACACCAACCCAGTGCTGAAACAGCCTTACCTTGTTGAAGCCGTTCTGACGTCTGGGTGCCACATCTGTGACGTCAACATCTTCGGGATCACTCCCCACCGGTCCAGGAGGTAGCTCCGTCAAGTCAATGGCCTGTCAAAAAGGAATATTTCACGTTTTTCATTCCCATGGCAACTGTGCTGTTCGAGAGAAACATACGGCTCTCCTCAACTGAAACTCCGAGTCCTCTCGTGCAAACATCAGATATTGCGGGGAATGTACACAATATACACTCATAATTATGTTTGATAAGATAGTCATAAAATTACAATGACATCTGTTCAAAAATTAGTTTTCATTTTGGCTACTTTGACGGGAATTGTTTTTTTTTTTCGCATTCTGGGTTTAACTTGATGATATCACACCTACACTTACCAGTAACTACATATGGATGCCCGTACGAATGACTTAATTCAATATCAAGAACTGTCTCTCAGCAAAGAATTCCTTTAAATATCAAATGAGCCAATGAACTATAAAGTGGTAGCTGTTTTTCATTCCTCAAAGATCTTACCTCGGGAATCTTAACATCAGTCCTACCCCTAATGCGATTTCAACACCGAAGTGCCCTCTATTTTCATTTCTAAAAGGATACAGGGGTCAAAGGTTACGGCTAAAATGTTGATGCACGTTCTCAACGCCAAAACCTTTCGAAGAAATCGTGTACATGTACAAGCATACTGTCCGTGCTCATTTGGTGTAATTTAAAAGAAATCTCTTCAAGTCATAGAAAAGGGAAAAGGCAACAATCAAAGCCACTCCAATAGCGGGAAAACAAAAGTGGGTAGTTTGCTGATTTGGGGAACGAAACGATTAACCATCAAAACGTGCAGGGACGGTTTCATTTCGTCTGACACCCTTGCCCTACATAATATCACGACCACCGTGTACCAGCAGCCGCTTGACGACACAACAAAGGTAAAAGAAAAATGACGAATTATTTCTGGATGGGCAGTTGCTGTAGCTGTACTCCATGGGGATGAATTAAAAAAAAAAATCCTGTTTTTCTTTTTCGGTTCACTGACGTCCCGAATTTCATTATGTGTGACCTGTTTTAATGCAGAGTTGAAGCCAGATGAAGCAGAAAATGAAATTTGAGCAATGAAAACAGAAGAACACAGGGTTTCAAAAGGAGTTGGGGTTTGCGGTGGGTTGTTCTCCGGAGAAGAGTGATTACATGTCATTGTTTTGGTCACGTCGACGTACGGTGGCTAGACGTGATGCAGTGTTTTGGCTCAGAAATTCCCGTTAACCTCCCAGTGTTTCCAACGTAAAAGCTTGCTCACCACCCAAACCGCCAAACTCCGCGCAGTGAACTGGACCCCTTGAGCTGGCACGATTCCCCGTTTTTGATACATATGTTCTGACTTGTTACCCTCAAAATACGGCGAAAATAGTCAGATTTGACTTCAATCCTTGACCCCTGATACCGCGCCCGCGCAGACCTCGCCAATTCCAGTCAGACAGCCCGAGGCAAGAAATCTCTTCTCACCCTCGGTGACTTGCCCGTTCCCCGCACGATGACAGTCAAAATTCACAGTTTCCTCATCTGGGCATTTCGTTGTCAAAAATTATCGATGACGGTGTTTGGCCCCAGCTAGCCGAAAATTAAAAACTGCACCAGACCCACGGGTTGATGGTAATAATACCAAAACGGAAAGAAATCGATTGCTGTCTTCAAATCTGACAGTGAATATGTGATCTCTGCGCTTACACGCCGACCTCTCTGGAAGCTCGTATCAACCGTGGCTGGCAGGGTCTCATGGCAAATTAAACACCCATTAGTTGGGAAATGAATTCACCATACATAATTCTCCATCCATTCAAGTTACTGGTATAGGCCTCGTTCATCAAGAAGCGCATACAGCACGGAGAGTGTTTTTCCCCTCTGTAAAATTGTCCCGGCGCGCTGCGCTGATTTTGTCCACTCATCAGGCACCCGCACAGGAAAAGATGCATGGAGATCGTAATGCATTGGGACAAGGTTCCGCACGAGGCTACCCTGGACCACGGGTGGACGAATTCTCTACACGGGGAACAGGGCAGGCTGTGATGACGCACGGTCAAAAAGTGACGATTGTTATCGCCATACCTACTCCCTATTAAGACTTACTTACAACGAAGAATTCCGTGTCATTTCATTTCTCACTTTTAGTGTTCAAGCAGCTATGGTTACACCCAAAAAAAAAAACTAATGAAAAGTTTCCCTTTTCCCCGGAGATAAAATGATTTAGATCCAGTTTACACATAACAAGCGAAAGCGGCCAAGGAGGTAGTGACGTCTTCGAAAGGGCTTCTTACATTCTACTAAATTCAAGAAAAAAGCCGGTTTTTCTCCACTGCACTGGTCCACAGACTTGGTCGAAATGTACATCAGCTGGGGCCCAATTTCTAAGTTCTTTATTTCTTTATTTCTGCATTTCAGAGCAGAGATTGTACATTCCGTACACATATATAAAGACAGCGAGGTCGTTCTGCATTAAGGATTCTTAATTATTTTCCGTTCGCGTGCACAGCTCAAGACGACGTCGGCTTGCAAAAAGCCATCTCGCTCGTCAAGGCCAAAGCCGTACTGGAGTGGATCACCTCCATCTAAGTGAATGGAGGAGAAAAGCCATCTTTAATCATTCAAGATGAAAAAAAGGATCAATAATTCAGACTCAGATATCCTCGCAGTGAAATAAAACATCACAAATATTACAAATATTTACATGTGACTTTTTCGGGTTGCAAAACCACGTGATTCCTGAAAGCGCATGTGTGATTTTTTGTAAAGATAGTAAGCAGTCTAATTATATTCATAGCTAGGGTTCCCAGGTAGAAGAAAGGAAAGTTGCAATGAGCAAACATGACGTCAAGACGGTGAAAAAAAGCTACAAAAGAAGGAATCACAGGGGAAAATCTAAGGTAAACATTCAGACATACGGCAGTTCTGGATTCTACACTTTGAGTGTACCCGAACGGACCAAAGCCTTGACCCCCCCTCCCCCATTTCACACTCGTGAAAATACTAACAAACTTCTGGCCGTTACCTCAAAGTGAAAGCAACAACATTTCATTACGATTTCATTCCCTTCCGTTTTGTAAGACACGCGCCCAGAACTGGATGTCTGTTGCTTTTGTTTGGTATAGCTTTTTTCATGTATGAAAGTGCCATGCGGAACGGACATTGAAACCATGTGTGGAAGTCGGGCAGCCGTCGGTGATAGCACGCTGCAGAGCGTTTAAGTTGGTTAGCCTTGACGGTCGATCTACAAGCGAGCTTTTGTCATATGCTGTCGGTGACCGTGACAAGATCTACCCGTACTGACTTTGACAACGACTTGCTTTCAAGTTCATTTTTTCCCCTGAAAATCCTTACAAAACCTGTAATGGGGACGTCTAAATTGCCATTACAGGTGTCGGGCCAAAAGGTCATTTTTATAACCGAAAGGGTGAAAAGGGTCATAACTTTAGTGGTAAATTCACCCCATGTCAGGTCTTCTTGAACTGAACGCACACAGTAATGCCAAACACTCGCAAAACCCTAAAGTTCAGTAGTTTTCGGTATAATAGATCCTGACATCCCGACGCAATAATAAAAATGATAAATGTTTGCGTTGTTATGATACATGTTATTTTTTCCTTGACCCGGAACTCCAAATCATTAATTAAATTTCCGGGTCGGCGGACTTTGTTTTCGAAAACTACATCAGGTAGCTTTATTTTGACGGGAGCATATAATGTCCGTTTGTCTGACACAAAAATCGAGTCAGTCAGATTTGAAGCTTTGTATGGTGGAAGTTATAAAGTTGAAAAATTGAGGCGTTGATCTGAATTTTTTTTAAAAAACGGATCGGCAACATGCGGAAAACAAAGCGAAGTGACACGAAGCTCCTGTTATTCTTTGCACAAGCCTGCAGTTCAAGGAAATTCCGCTCTGAGCGTGCAACATTTGGTGTGTGAATTCTGTTCCTCACACAGCGTTGTACCTACCGGTACTCTTCGAAAAGTTCAGAGCCAAATCATTACAAAAAGTCCGGACTTTATGCTGATTATTTGAGGAAAAGGGCAAGAGAATTTGGAATTCCTAATTGGCGACTGCAACGAACGAGTCCGCGGTGCTCAGACCAAGACCAACTGACAGGGTCGGTGAACGAGTTCAACCGTTGTGGTACTCAATCCATCGTGGTGCTTGTAGTCTTGCGAGCCGAATTTGTGACCCATAACCTCCGTTCCAGATCCTGATCACACCTGGTGAAAGAACCTTAGCAGTTACCCCCAGGAAAGGAGCGGCGTATGCTTCGTAACAACTATGCATTGTTTCGTTGTGGCCTTCAGTTCCCCTTGGCAACTTTCATGTTTCTTCTTTTACAAAACTTTTTTACACCGTTTACAAAAATTCGTCTATAATACTTGAAAGGTCGAATCCCAATATTGATACCACTGAATATACATCATCCTGCTCATAACAAGAGACAAATTAAGGCCTCGAGCCTTTACCTCCATGTTGGTGTGTTTCCATACTGATAATGGCTACTAGTTACATCGAGGCAATATGGAAAGTCCAAACGATCTCGTTAAAATTAGAGGTGTTCATTCATTGATATGGCTTACAGTTTTGTTTGCCGGATTTCATTGATCATACATGAAATTATATTTAATAACATTCAAGAATTCTCGCATCGTTTCACCAGTACGGAATTAAGTTTCCTCGCCGGATTTCATGCTGCTTTCTGTGTCCATACGTTTACAAAAACTGCGTACTACAAATGACGCAGTAAGAAGTGGTGCAGGTATTTTGGGGATCTCCAGAACGGCCTAATATGCCTGCTTAAAAAAAAATTAATTTGGATCGTCTCGAGTTTCTCTCAATGCGTCCAATTTGCAGCGACTCCGGTGCGCCCTTCTGAACTGGGTGTGAGGAATGGCGAAAGTACACACTCAAACTGAATGCACAATCATTAATGCTAAAACGTCTATGCCCAAGTGAGAAGTAGCATTTTTATCCTATTCACAGATACCCCAGGGTAGACTCTAAAAAGTGAGTACATTATGAGATGGCGTTAAAATGTGTTGATAGTGTTCAATTGCTCACAGATTGGGCAGTTTTT